CTGAGAACAAACTCAGATCAGAAGTCCTCTAAACTGAGAACAAACTCAGATCAGAAGTCCTCTAAACTGAGAACAAACTCAGATCAGAAGTTCTCCAATCTGAGAACAAACTCAGATCAGAGGTTCTCTAAACTGAGAACAAACTCAGATCAGAAGTTGTCTAAACTGAGAACAAACTCAGATCAGAAGTTCTCTAAACTGAGAACAAACTCAGATCAGAAGTTGTCTAAACTGAGAACAAACTCAGATCAGAAGTCCTATTGGAGTTCATGCAAAACGTCCGCGTCAGGGGGGATAAAGTTGAACCATATCGCCAAACCTCCGCCGCACACAGAACTTCAGAAGAGGTGTTCCAGGAGTTTTATTCAAAACAAAGGCAGATGGAGAGGCACTGAGTGAGATCTCTGAACCAATTCAATGTGCATTAGTAGGTTCAAGATCTCGTTGGGGATGTGAACATAAAGGCTCATGTGTATATATGTCTGTAGTCTATAGTTAGCAGTAGGGTGTATAACAACCTCCTCATGTCCTAGTTGTAAGCAAGATCTGGTCAAAAAATAAAGCCAAGCCAGAAGTCACGATTCGGCTGCAAGCCACTCTTAGACCCTAGCATGTTCTTTTTAAACCTTATCCAGGCCAAAGCTCCCTACACTCAATGGAACAAGAGGACTTAGCCTGGATAAGCCGAACAAATCGAAAGATCTCTGCAAAATAGTTGATGAGTGATGATATATGAAAATCCATTTGCCATCCTAGGGGAAGTGATCTGATCAGTGTCTTGATTCTTCAATAATGTTTGTTTTTTCATTGATTACAGCTTAGATCTCAAAATGTGATTATTATTACTATTACTATCTTCATTACTGTGAAAAAAATGCTTAGGTGACCGAGCCTTATTTGACTTAAATAAAAGGTTTAATGCGTTAACTCTCAATATTGCTGACCCACTCTAATTTAGAATTATAATTCCCAAATAATAGTATTTAACATTTTACCTATTGTATTCAAACCTTCTCCAACTAAACCAACTCCTTTAGTAAATTTAGCAACAACAGGAAGTAACCTGAAAAGGTTTAATCCTAAAAAAACTTGCATGTCCGAATATATGACGTAGAAAGGAATTGAGTCTTTGCCACAAACTCAAATTTTCTAATCCCTAAATCTATGGAACCTGATGATGTAGACTTTGATATTTCAAACTTAGATAATTTGATGCAACATAATTCATAGTTTGAAATATCTAAGGTCTACGACATTGGGTTGCAGAGATATGGGTATTAGAAAATCTGAAATTGTGTCAAAGACTCAACTCCTTTCTGTCTGTTAAGGTGTATGTACGATAATAAGTCATGAGCCCTTAACAAATTGCCTCAAATATCGATTTAGAAAACCACAAGTTAAGTATAGTTTGTCTTTGCATTGGGAAAATAAAGGCAAGGCTGGGTTCCAAAGCTACAGGGTTACCCACAAAGCATGAGACTTCAAAGATGACTATACGGAACTTTTTGATTGGATTCATTGTTCCCTTTCTAGTCAGTTTATCTGTTATAAACTTATTTTATGAGACCAAGTTAAATTAAACCTTCAGATTTTTATATTAAATATTTTTTTAGGTCTTTAGCTGTGGGGAGTCATGTAGTTCTTCCATATTCCATTTTGTTTTTTTTAAGTGTTCAATAAACACATAAAATTATGCATTTTGGAAATTTACTGCTTGTAAAATTTGAATATAATATGTTTTAATGTGTTATAAACTTATTTATCAAATTATTATTATTTAAATTAAAATCAAAAACCTGTTTGTAACGTTTGTTCCTAAAAAAGAAGAAGATCTTAAAACTTTTTGAAATTTAGCTTATGTTTAATAAAATTCAACAATTCCTGAATTGCCAGAATTAAAATAATTCAAATTCTTCTTTTTCCTAAAACATTCTTTCCGATTATATACAACGCTTCTTCGACGGTCTGCTCCCGATCTGCTCTATCCTCTAGATCGGTCGGATTGGACGAATCGGCAGATTCTAGAGGAACTAATCCTTCTCTATGAGGATCTGGGATATTTCTTCCTTCGGCTCTGTAATAATCTTCATAGTAAACATCGTTCCTAGACAAAATTTTGGTCTTAAATATTAATTAATTTATTAATTTTATTTCAGCGTGTCCTGCGAAACATGACAGTTAAAGAACGACATGAAGATCGTATTTAATCTTTAGAAAATCGTATTTAATCTCTTAAAAAAAATTTGCGACATTACCATCTTGAAACAATAATACAAAAACCGCTTAATTGAATGTATTGTGTCATTTCCAAGTTGAGTAATTTTCTTCTTTCAAAATTTTGTTCAGATTTTGGTTTCCCTTGATAAATTAAAATCTGAACGAGTTTCTTTAAAACTACGGTAATGTTGAAAGCACAAAAAAGACAGACCACAGTAATAATTTAGATTTCATTTTGAAAAATATGCTACCCAATAAACTCCGACGGGTTGAAATTGGTGAAGTCGTCATTATTTTGAGATGTAGTTTCTTGATCTCTATACTCTTGTCTGCTGTAGTCGAGTTGAGAGTAGTCTGGTTGTGTGGTGTATGGATAGTCGTAGAAAACATCGCCGTTGGATTGATAAACTTCAAATAAAAAATTCAATCAGTGCTGATCGATTAATAATAAAAACATTTTATTTTTTATATAAGGGATCTTGCAGAATTTTTAAAAAGTGTTGAACATTCAGCTTTGATTTTTTTCCAGACTTTAAAGGGTTTTGGATTTAAAAGCTTCCACAACATTTTGAGAAGTTTTACAAATTTCAAAACTGTTTATTCGAAATTTTTTTGCTCAAATCTTTTTTTACAACATTTTTTTTCCACGGGCCTTTTAGTTAGTTTTACCTAAATCTGGATGAATATAATCATAACTCTGCTTGCTATAAATAGGTCCATGAAACTCCCCATAATCCTGAAATATATTTTTTAAATAAAAAAATAATTTTTAAAAATATTTTTTGAACTCTTGTTTTATCTTTACGGTAACTTTTGCCCGAGTACACTTTTAGAAAAACCCAAAATTGAGTTCGAAATATCGTATTCGAACCCATTTAAAAATTACGAAAATGTTGTTAGAAATTATTAACAGAATGTTATGAATATCTCTCAAATTCGAGATCTCTACATTTTTTAAATTTTCCAACTAGACAAAAGAAAAGGGTAAAATTCAACCGGCTAATCTTGACTTTGCTTCCTGTGGACATGTCTGAAAAAATGTAAATTTTTCACTTTCCGAGTACATATGTTAAGTTTCGAATACCATGTACATTGTACATTGCAGTACAAATATGTTTAGTTTCGAATGTCATGTGCGTACTCTACATTGTACATATATAGTTTAGTTTCAAATACCATGTACTGTACATTGTACATAGTTTAGTTTCGAATACCATGTACTGAACATTGTTCATAAATGTTTAGTTTCGAATACTATGTACTGTACATAGTACAAATATGTTTAGTTTCAAATACCATGAACTTTACATTGTACATATATATATGTTTAGTTTCGAATACCATGTACTGTGCATATATGTTTAGTTTCGAATACCTTGTACATTGCAACAATGCACATTGTACATATATGTTTATTTACGTATGTACTGTCAGTGCACACAGATATATTTATAAAAAGAGCAGATTTTGATTTTCCACTTTTTTTCACTCGTTAACTAATACCTTTTTGCTAATTTTAACCTTTTTAAAAGTCACCCTGGGTAGTTTTATTGATATACTTGTTATTGTTAATTAATGTGGTTTAATAAATGAGTGGGGGGGATATCCTGGAGTCTTGGTGTTTAATGAAGGGGGGGGGGAGCTGTGTTGGTGTTTCATGTTTTGTAAATAAATTGGTGGGAAAATATTGACCTTCCATTGTATTAAACACAATTCAAGGGAGATGCTTCAACCAACGATTTCTTGCATTCTTTTTTTCTCGTAAATTTTTTTTAATTACCTAATCTTTTGTTTAAGACTAAAATATTAGATTTCAGTATAATTTGCAATTCGATATTATAATTTTATAAATGAATAAGTATTTTTAAGTTTACAAAATAATATTCTATCCAAGGGTGTAATGCATGGAATGTTAATTGCGGTAGTGTATACTCTGCGTACACATTGAAACCAGTTCTCTTTGGGCGGAATTTGTAAACAAGATTAGATGCAACAGTGTTCGTTTAGTATCCGAGGAGGTTAAAAGCATTAAATTTTGATAATTTTGATAATTAACTTAATAGTTTCCTATGACCAGAATATTTCATTGATTTTTTATGTGAAAGATAGATCCCATGTCAGGCTTTGACATCCGTCTTGTGTTTACATTACCGCCCAGAGACAGTACACTTCAGTACAAAAGATGTGTACACTTCTGAAATAACTTTCCTTGCAATACATCCTTGATTCTATCTATTTTTTTGAAATACACAATATTTATGCTATAATTTGATTCTATAGAAGGGACACGAGGCACAATAATCACAAAATTATAAAAGTAATCCAAATTTGAGTATAATTTGCAATTAGATATTTTGTACAGTGAATCCCAGATATATGAATACATAGACCGTCATAAGTTTTTTGATAATTCTGAAGAAACTTCTTTTCATCTTTAATTAAAGGCAAATTAATCTCCTTGAAATATGAATGCAATTGATATATTAATATTAAACTCATTTTTCCGCGGCATTTAATCTCAAATATGTAATACGAATACATAATACAGATTTTCATAAGAGTTACACGTAATAATTCCAAAAAAAACTAAAATAAAACGTTCATAACACTTGAAAGAAAATTTTTGTATTTTTATCATAATATCATATTTCTTCGCTGATTATGAAAAGTAAACTTTTACGAATAGCTAAACAATAGTTTACAAATTATTGGAAACCTTGTTTTTTTTTGTTTGGCTATTTTTTGTCTCATTTTGTCGTAACATATTTTTAAAAGTCATCATTAATTTTTCAGAAATTAAAAGAGATCATTATTTTTTACCTTGTCATAGTAATTAGATATAAAAGTATTTAATTTTTTAATAATAAAAACGCCAGTTCTACGAGTTAAACTGTAAACAGTGTGAAAACTTTAAGAAGAGATAACTATGTACAGACAAAACTGTGTATGTATAGAACTACATACAGACTGAACTATGTACAGACAGAACTATGCAAAGACAGAACTATGTACAGACAGAACTATGTGCAGGGAAAACTATGTACAGACAAAACTATGTACATACAGAACTATGAACAGGCGTAAATGTAAACAGTTTGTAAGACAGAACACATACAGAGATTGGACATCGTCTGATTTTGGTATTCACTGCGAAAACTTTTGAATCGATTAAGTGCTAAATCCATAAAAAAAAAGGGTGAAACATATCTTCGCAACATTCTATTGCCCAAATTCAGTTACTGTTATGTTTCTGAAATCAACGTAATCCGTCAGATTACAAAGATAATGATTAGTGTTTTCTAAAAAGATTAAGAAATCAAAAGTTTTGAGCTCCGGCACCTTACCTTATAATCCTCGTATTCGTCCTCCCTTGAAGTGTTAGCTCCAGTAAGATACCGCGCTATTGTACCAACTGCTCCAATAGTTTCATGAACTCTAACAAATATAACAATGGCGGTGAAGTTACGACTTACAGAGACTGTAGACGTGATTTTAAGTAGCCTACGGTTAAGTACCATTCATTTAAGTACCCTACATTTAAGTACCCTACATTTAAGTACCCTACATTTAAAGTACCCTATATATTTGAGCTTTACCCTACATTTTAAGTACCCTACATTTTTAGTACCCTACATTTTAAGTACCCTACATTTTAAGTACCCTACATTTTAAGTACCCTACATTTTAAGTACCCTACATTTTATGTACCTTATATTTAAAGTACCCTACATTTTTAGTACCCTACATTTTAAATATCCTACATTTAAAGTACCCTACATTAAAAAAGTGGCCTGTTCAATTCACAACGGTGCCCTTTAGACCAATGTAAACAATGATGGGATCATCCCTCTTTTCTTTATCTTAAAATTGATTGTTTTCATTTGCGGTTTTCAATTAAAAAGTTTGCTACAATATCGGTATGAATGGTACCGTTGTAAATTGGCCATGCCACTCTAAAAACGGAGATTCCCTTGAAATCTTTTAAGAGAGTATTAATTTTCAACCAATTCATTAAGGACAATTTTTAATTCCAATTTAAAATTTATTTTAAGTATGTAATGTCACTTCATGCCCTGCAATGTCAGCATCCAGCTCTATGTAAAGATATTATATCCGATGGTAAGATTGGATATTGAAGATGGAAAAATGTCAGACTGGATGGATGAAATGAAATATTGGCCGCAAAGATTCTTGATGGTATTAATCATAGATTCTATATTCTAGATTCTAGATTTACTATTCCGAGTTAACATTTTCTATACGTAATTAGAGTTAAGCATCGTTATTATCAGTTTTTTACCATTTTTAGGATAATCTGAGATGTTAAACATTTTTCTCTAAAAGTTTGTTTTTATTACACTATGCAAAATATTAAATCCAGTAGAAGATGTCAATATCAGCCAGAGCGATGTTTCAAATCGTTATTTAAAGGAACTGCAAAGGAAAGAGGAAAGAGGGTATAGGCTGAAAGCTATTCACTTTAGCTCTTGATCCCGACCCATGAAAGTTAAATCTGATGTTCCTGTCTTGGGAAATTGATATCAAACTGTGTAAAATTTATACGAAAATTCATATTTATGCAGCAGAACTTCCACCAATGAGAGTGCAGTATACTGGCCACGTGTCTCTGTCTGTATCACGTGACCAATATACTGCACTACCATTGGTGGGAGTTCTGATGACGTTATATATACTTATGAATAATATTATCAATTATATCTCTTAAAAATCAAAATAACAATTAAAAATAATAATTGGAGAAAACCTAAGTTACAATTAGGGTTCTCTGGGATATCTTCGTTTTCAGATTGGTTGCATATTTGCTGAATATGATCATTTCTATACTAAATTGTATATATATTAATTTTCGTAAAAATTTGACAAAGTTTTATATCAATTTCTCGAGACAGGAACATTAGATATAACTTTCATGGGTCGCAATCAAAAGCTAAAGTGAAGTGCTTTCAGCCTATACACTTTCATTTTTTCCTTTACAGACCCTTTAACAAACGTTTGATCTTGCTTCGTTCAGGCTTAAACATCAGAGTTAAAATATGCATAATGTCATAAAAAAAAGATGGATAATGAATAATGTCTAACTTTATAACGTGATGTATAACATCAACGTAAGAAAAGGTTGACTGTCTGGAATTCTAAGAATTGATCGGAGGAGCGTTGCCAACTTTTACAAGATACATAAGATTTTGTAATTATGCTCTGAATAAAAATCATTATTTTAAAATTTTTTTTATGTAAAATAAAGCCAGGAGGGGATAGAATCTTGCCATTGAACAATTTTTTTTCTTGGAAATTCTTTTGTTTTACATGTTTATGTAGATGAAAAAAAATCCTATTTTTTAAGCATATCAAAAAGAGACAATGTTTTTTGCATTCAATAAGTTTTCACTTTTCATAATATAAGGTAAATCTTGCTAAGAACTATATCCTTTAAACCTTTCTTGGAGAAAATGTGATATCCTTGTCTTTTTTAAATAAACTGAGTTTTCGCCGCAAACTTTATAATTTTTAATCCACATATGTTTGTGACCCGATGTCGTAGACCTTTTATAATTCAAATTAAGAATTCTGTTAGATTAAATCGCCTAAGATATTAGAGTTTGTTCTTTTTCATTTTACAATTGCAATCTTCATAAAGATGACTTGCGGATTACTAATGCACCAGAAACATGGAAGGAAATTGACAATATCTTCCTCATTGTTACTCGGATAAAGGGTTAAAGGATACGGTTGTGAATCGGTCATGTCAACTCACGTTATCATTACATTTTAACATAGGTAATCTGACCCTTCATCAGACAAAGCTTTTAAGGGTACCGTTGTAAATCGTGCATTGCAATCTTTGCATTGAGGGCCACTTGAAATAACGCTTACAGTCTCTTTAAGTCCAGAAAGTGTTATAGGAAACCTCATTTTTATTTTTAAGTTTACCGACTATGAGCCTCCTGCCCAAGTACAGCAGCCGCTACCCTATCTACCCCGTCTCTAGAAAAAATTTAAATAATTCAACAAAATTTTAACATTTTTAGTTTGTATTCAAATATACCTTGCAGTATTTGTGAGTGTGTTTACACTTGCTGCTACCCCTAAAGATCATAATACTTATAAGTATTTAAAATTATGTAAATAAATGTAAGGTTTTCCAGGATTTTTCCGTTTTAATAATGGATTACCAAGACCAACGTCGTTTTTAAGAATTTAAATTCATTTGCAAGCAAAATTTTTTTTAATTTCCTATAGGTCATGTGACTTGACACAAAATTAATTGGGGCTGAACGGTTCAGAGGTTTACTAAACACAAACAGAAAGTTCTGTTTTTATTTCTGTTTTTTGATTTCTTGAAAGTTTGTGGCCTGTTATAATTCTATTAGTTCATTTTTATTTCCTTTTTCATCTTTTTTCCTGATTTCCTTTTTCTTGAAAGTTTTTTTTGTAAAATTTCTTTCATGATATTAATTTCTTTAGCTGGTTTATAAATCACACTCTTAAATGGTTTTGTCACTTTCTTCCACCAACCAACTAGTTCTAACCTTTTCAGAAAATATTAATGTAGAGAACAATATTCTACTTAAATGTTTATTTCTTGCGCTCTCCAGAAAGAATAATTATAATTATGGTAATCAATCAATAGTGACAATTATATTTTTTACAATTTATCAAAATTTCTGTAGTTGAACTTTCAGGATAGCTTTAGACCATGTTTTAAAATTTTAGTTTTTAAGAGCTCTTTAAGAGCAAATAATGAAAACCAGAAAAACAGGACTGGGTAAAGAACTTTTCCTTTGAGTTTAAATCATTTAAACCTTTTAGCAAAATTTATAGGTGGGTGGATTGTTATTACAATATGCATTTAAGTATCTAACACTGAACACTTGTGTATAGAGTGATCGTATTTCTTGGGGGGATTTTGTGGAATTGATAAATAAAAAAAAACATTCTTGATATATGGAGAGTTAGAGATCCTCGATTTTTTATTTGGGTTAAAATATTGCATTTCTCAGAAGCAAACTTCTGATTATGAAAGAAAAAACTCGAGGATTTATAGAGCAAAGACGAGAAAGAACGAATGAATTTATGGACCGCTGTTGTAAATAGTTTGCATAAATAGAAAAAAATTCTTGTTTTTCAAATTTTTGGGTCAATCGTTTTTGGCTGGCTTTCAAACTTTAAACTTTTAAGAAGTATTCCTGGCGCAATGTGTTCGTCAACAGTGTGTCTGAAGTGAGCAGCTGACTCCCTGAATACAAATATAAGCAATTTTATGCATTAAAACCTAGAATAGAATAGAACTAATTACACTGGCCAGGAACTCTAATCTTATGAATTAAAACCTAGAATATCTCAACATTAGAGTAATAATTACACTGGCCAGAAACTCTAATTGTTCTTTTTTTATGCTGTAAATTAATTTTTTCCTCTACTGTATACTTATTCACTTCAGTTTTAGGCTTTATAATTCCCTTAACTTCGACCACTTTTAAATGGTAACATAAAAGGTAAAATAGGCATAGACCAGTACAATCTACAAAAGCACAAACAGAGGACGGGGGACTGAATTTGGTAAGATCATGGTTAAACGACTTATGACTTATCATCCACCCCACAGCTATCGTTGACTACAGTTTATTTACAAGTAAACCTCTCTTCATGTTTACAATATATCAAAACCTAGAATAAAACATTAGAGAACTAATTACACTGTCCAGAAACTTTTTTTGTTAACAAATCGCCCAATGACTCAAATGTGCCTTGGGACAAGCAAAAATAATGAAATCACACTGTGCGAAGAGTTCTGAAATAAAAATAATCCTTCAACGAAAGGAAACGAAATTTAATTTATGAGTTTAAAACGAACGGTTGCTTGATAATTATGGGGCATTCGTTATTTGAACTATACGTAACCGTTAACGAACATATTAAGGGGGTACGGGGGGTGGGGGCAACCCTGTATGTACCCCCTAACATGCCCCTCTTTAGCCCCCCCCCCCCATTACGCAAAATATATTCTTTTCATCTCAATTAACAACTTGTCCATTTTATGATTATTTCTCAAATTCTTTCTTAGACCTTAATCTTATTTACAATTTTTCATTTGAAACAGGGGCGGATACAGGGGGGCGGCAGGACCTTCGCACCCCCCTGAGATTTCAGAATAGCTTCTTAATAGCATCAAAGGGATAGAAACCTAGTGCAAAAGTGTAAAAATATCTATTTAAAAAAAAACATTTCGCCTGTGGCCCGTCTTTTTGTTCCTAAATCTGGATGTTTTTGTTCCAAAATAAATCTAGCACCCCCCTCACTTAAATCCTGTACTCGCCCGTGATTTGAAATCCACATCATACAATGGTATGATTGGTATTAAGATAAGTTAATATTTAATTCAAAACTTGATTTTTTCTCCTTGATGCGGGGGGGGGCGGGTTGAACAAGGACTAGACCAGGGGTCAACCAAAAAAATACTTTCCTCACAACTGGGTTTGCAGCACGATGAAATTGTGTCACAGCGGTGACTCCCGCATTCCCTGTACATAGCGCCATTTTTAAATTTTAATTTCAATTGATAATTTGATTTTATATAATAACAGACTTTAAGTCCTGGATCCAATTATGAAATATTATTGTTATTATTATGTTTATTATTATTATTATTCTTATTATTGTCATTATTATTGATAAATCTTCAGTCTAATCTAATGAAAACTAGACGGCCAGGGGGGGGATAAATCTTCAGTCTAATCTAATGAAAACTAGACGGCCAGGGGGGGGGGATAAATCTTCAGTCTAAGTTACAATTTACTCATTAAAGGGACTGTAGACACATATCAAGTGATTTTCTATTTATATGAGGTGCAATCCGATCCATAACTGTATTTTGTATATCTTTATCTGATCAATAATGTTGAAAATATTGTAGATTTTCTTGCTTCAAAAGTTATTTTTTTATTTCTAAAATTTCATCCATCGTTATTTAGCGAAATCCGCAAGTCTCTTGGATTGGATTGACAATGGAAAATTTTCAATTTTCAATTCTTCACTGATGATACTTGATTGTACCGGGCTGACTTATAAGCAGCTAGGGCGTACACTGTACAGTACAAATACAGACTGTATAAGGCAAAACAGAACAGTACACCATATGAATCATCTGCTTCTTGTGAGATTCTTGTGCCTTGATTATACAAAACTTTTACGGGTACCTTTGTAAATCGATAATTCCACTTTAGATATTAAGGGTCACTTGAAAATAATCTTTTTTAGGCACCATTTTTATTTTAAAAACAAACGTTTATAAGTCGTTAATTTTAAAGAAAAAACCCGGAAAATGTTAGTTAGTCCGTTACGGGGATGTATTGATCAAAAATCTGACCCTATTTGAATTATATATAAAAGATGTAAAACTTTAAATAACGTTCCTAAGTTTATTGCTGTTTCCACCAGAGCCGGCACTACACGCTCCCTTAAAACATAACGTATTTATAAAATTATAGAATATAAGCAGAACCAGTTTTAAAGGGGTTGTAAGCCTAATTTCAAGAAACTCTCTATTCAAAGATGGCAATGATCCCAACGGTACCCTTGACACGTTTATCTGATCAATAATGTGAAGGATATTTATAGTTTTTACTAGGTTTAAAAGTGTGTAATTCTGATATTTCCTACATGTTTTTCTGCGGAAGAATTACGCGAATCACTTCTTTAGAAATGTTAGAGATATCACAATTGAAAATAATCAGTTTTCAAAATTATAAACATGATATCTAATTCATACTTGTTCAGACAACGCATTTAAGAGTACCGTTGTAAATCAGGCAATGTCATCTCTGCAGGCTCACTTTAAAGTACCCTAAAGTGGGATAATATATAGCCCTTATTTTAAAAATAAAGTTAAAGATTTTGTAACGAATTTATGTATCTTTTAAATCTGGAGTATATGTTGATCTTGAGCGCTTCGTTTTAAAATCTTGTTAAAGATTCGAGTCTTTGACGCTATGCCATGCAAAATCAAATGTTCTAATCCCTATATTTTTGCAACCTGTTGGTGGACATATTTGATATTTTAAAATTATATTATTTAATGTATATGTCAGAATAGTTTGAAATATCTGAGGTCTACGTCATTCATAGGTTCCAAAGATATAGGGAGTAGAAAATCAGAGTTTGTGGCAAAGACTCAATTCCTAGCTATGCGGATCAATTCTTGATCCTAGACTTTCTGACTTCAAACCACATTTAAAGAGATATTACAGTAACAAACCAAATTTAAAGATATATTACAGTAACAAACCATATTTAAAGAGATATTACAGTAACAAACAACATTTAAAGAGATATTACAGTAACAAACCACATTTAAAGAGATATTACAGTAACAAACCACATTCAAAGAGATATTACAGTTACAAACCACATTCAAAGAGATATTACAGTTACAAACCACATTCAAAGAGATATTACAGTAACAAACCATATTCAAAGAGATATTACATTAACAAACAACCAAATAACCAGTCCAAAGTATCATTCTTTCAAAAACAAAAAAAAAGTTTCAAATAATACTATTTTAAAAAATAATAACACATGGGTAATGCACCATTGTTGAACAAAAAACATAAGAGCCATAAAAATTGTCGACTTTGAAGTGTCGTAAACCCATAACCTTGTATTTACCTAACTCAAAATTTAGTTGTACAACGAGCGGAGAGGATTAGCGCTGATTAGAACATCTCATATCTTACCTAACTATCTCTACTCCTCCATCTATCCGGGGTCTCACTCGTCGTTCGAAATATTCAGGAATCGATGGAACTAAAAAAGAAATGTATTTCAGTTATTGGTTAAATCATTTTTTTAATAAGATACGTTGTCATAAGTAAACTATATTCAATGAACCATAAAGATCAAAGAACAAACAATTCTGAACTGAACTGAAAAAAATTTGCTTTAAAAAATCAAAGATTATCTTTTTGCAATAAAGAAGATTTATCACATTAAGTTATGAAAAAATTTGAAATTTATTCCGAAATTGTTTTGTTAAAACTTTTCCTATAAGAGATAAAGTAAAAAAATAAATCGAATCTCATCTTAAATATTTTTTAATCTCTATTTCAGCGGAATAATCTGTTCTAAAGAAATACATTTCAATAGATTTATGTGAAGAAAATTAACTCGTCAGCATTCGTTCTAATCTAAAAGACCACCTTTTTGTTATCTTGAAAACCCAAGATAAATTACATTATCTTTGACTACAGTGAGACCCATAAAACTGTGAAAAAGGAAGACGACTAAAGACATAACTTACAATTTCAAATTGTCCATGAAAATGAAACACTGTAATTGTGCAGTGTACACAATACAGAGTCTGCAAAATTATTTGCTTTGTAACAACATCGAACACAAATAAGTTTGCTTAACCCTATTCCTGCTGGGAGGGGGGGGGGTCTGAACCCCAGTAGTTTTTCAAATAAAAAGTATGGGTCTAAGGCTGTTGAAATCTGACTTCTCCTAAATATGCATAGCTCTCTCCTTTTAGGCATAAAACCGGGCTCTTATACTAACTGCCTGAGTCCTCGGACACACTGCCTGATAAATACTTTTTCCTGTAATAAACTAAATCTTTGCAAATTATTTGCATTAAATCCTTCAAAAGAAGTTTACACATTTTTAGTTTTTCTTAATTACACATCAGGTTATTTGAAATTTTGCAACATTTTTTGCATATTTGAAATGGCATGGTCAAGGGCTTTTTAAAAATGTATATTTTATCATTTTTTGGAAATTTTTTTGCAAAAATTTTTACTATATTTTTGCCAAACAAATTTCGAATTTTGCAAATTTTCAATTCTTTTTCAGATTTTAAAAGTAGAGCAGAAGAGCTTTCCAATAATCATTTGTTACATTTTGACATCAAACAGGGGATTTAAAGTGGGAGTCACCCCCCCCCCCCAGCGTATCCTGAGGCCGAATTCAAATAATTTGAGCCGCAGCTCAAATATGGTTGGTTTCAATTAAAATTGTATTCAATGTTTCAAGATTTAAGCCGGCGTTGAATAGAAACCGGTTTTGGCGGATTTGAGACGCGGCTTAAATCAATTAAATTCAGACTCTGGGTTTCAAGTACCCCAGCCAAGGATAGGGTTAAATTGTCTTTGTTTTCATTTTTCATAGTTTTAAGGTTCCCACTGTAGTATATTTTACCGAGGTTCCTGTAATAGTGCATAAAATGAATTTACGGAAAATAATAAAAACAGGTATAAGTTATTCTAATTGAGTTTGTAGGAATTTCCGATGTATTCTGTAAATAACTTTTCACTGTAAATTATAGAACCAAAGTTAATCAGAGGAACTAAGTTCTTGCCACAATTTCAAATTTTCTAATCCCTATACATTTTAACCTAATGTTGATATTTTTAAACTGAAACTATTTGATCTAGGAGAATTCATGGTTTAAAATATCAAAGGTTGCAAAGAAATAGGGATCAGCAAAATTTGAGTTTGTGTGAGTTCATAGGACTACTTTTATTTTCTAATATTTTCTGTAAATAGCTTTTTGTAATTTCCAAGCAAGAGATTTTCGGGCTCAAAGGACAACCTATAGAAGCAATCTATTCTAATTTATCTAGTGGCCAGATTTTATGAAGCAGTAGTTGAATCACACAGACCCGGCTGAATCAGAGGTACGTGGTTTAACTACTTCTCTCTATATATTAAATCTGGTCCTGTCCCATGCACTATATATTAATCTAATTCAATTCTAATATCTATAATTTCTGTCCCTGAGGGTCCATGATGTTAACAAAATAACACATGGTGGTGTTGGATATATTTAACTCAAACCAAAACAGGGAATTAACACACAACTTTCAAGATTCGACAGGAAATTTTGTTCACAACTCTGATATTTCAATCCCTACATCTTTGCAACCCGACGTCGTAGACTTTTGATATTTTCAACCCTGATTTTAATGGATCAAATAGTCAAAGTTAGAAATATATCAAAGGTTTGCACCATCAAATTGCAACAATATAGGAATTCGAAAATTTGAGTTAATGGCAAAAACTCCGTTTCTTATTCAGCCAGATTTTCTGAAGCTTAAAATTTGATTAATCTCTAAATTGCATTTATTATTAGTATTTTAAAGAATTATTCACACATACAAAGATATAAATACATATATAAATGGTGTAGTTTAAATTTGTTTAAATAAATTTTTGAAAATACAGGTTTCCAAAAGAAAAAAGAAAAATATTTAAAAATTATCCACAAATAGTCGACATTGATCATTACTCATTACATAACATATTTATCATTTCAGTTATTACGTGATCATCGAATCCGTCAACATATAAATTATTCGTTCTTGTATTTAAAAGTTCTTGTAAAACCGGAACTTTCCATGCATGGTCCAATGGGAACTTTAAGAGTATGTTATGGTGCATCATTTTTATTGTTCACAATGTTTTAAAAAATAAACCAGTTTAAAGGAAAAATTAAATTTATTTTTGGGAAAATAAGTTTAGCAGTAAAAGGAAGACTCAAATGTTGTGGCATGGAAGACCGAACGGTTGTGGCTCACGGCTGGCAGAAGACAAATAAGCTATGTTCTTTTACAAAAAAATGGCTAGTTATTATTTTGAAATATTAAAATATTATTTGAAGAATAGATTGTGGAAAAGAAATTTTCCTATATTTAAAATAAATGTCTCGATGTAGAGTGAATATTCCAAAATTTTTCGCTACATTAATTTATTTGCAAACATGAAGGGATTTAAATATATACAAAAGAATTGAAGATTTTTCATGTTTTATTTTTAGAAAAATAAATAATACAAGTTTAGGATTATTTCTTTTGCATCCAAAACCTGCAAAAGACTTACGTGTTGTACCCATGCTTTTTTGGAATATAAAAAAATAAGGGCAAAAAAGTGTTTCTATTGTTTTGTTGTTTTTATAGCTTTCCAACAGAGGAAACCCCCTGAATTAAGTGTTTAAAAATTATCAACTAAAGGCATTTTGTTGTTTCAGGTATTAACATTGCACATGTGCGACTTGCGGATTTATATTCAGAAAGAATCAAAGGAAATATTCTGAATTTAACACTTTTAAAGTTAGAAAAATGCCGATATCTTCCAAATGTTACAATGTGTACAGTCCCTTTATATCCTGTATTTGTTCTACAGGCCCTTTATATCCTGTATTTGTACTGTACAGTGTACAGTCCCTTTATATCCTGTATTTGTACTGTACAGTGTACAGTCCCTTTATATCCTGTATTTGTACTGTACAGTGTACAGTCCCTTTATATCCTGTATTTGTACTGTACAGTGTACAGTCCCTTTATATCCTGTATTTGTACTGTACAGTGTACAGTCCCTTTATATCCTGTATTTGTACTGTACAGTGTACAGTCCCTTTATATCCTGTATTTGTACTGTACAGTGTACAGTCCCTTTATATCCTGTATTTGTACTGTACAGTGTACAGTCCCTTTATATCCTGTATTTGTACTGTACAGTGTACAGTCCCTTTATATCCTGTATTTGTACTGTACAGTGTACAGTCCCTTTATATCCTGTATTTGTACTGTACAGTGTACAGTCCCTTTATATCCTGTATTTGTACTGTACAGTGTACAGTCCCTTTATATCCTGTATTTGTACTGTACAGTGTACAGTCCCTTTATACCCTGTATTTGTATTGTACAGTGTACAGTCCCTTTATACCCTGTAAATGTACTGACCTCCTCTCTTGGTTCGATTAGTTTGGTGAGTTGAGAAAACGACTTGAACTCCTAGAATACACAGTAGAACTCCCACTAGTCTCATCTCATCACTTTCTAGAACTAATATTTTATTATTCACTAGCTCATGTGTCCGGCGTTGCCCGTGGAATTTTAGAAAATTTGAAGAAAAAATCTGATTTTAAACTTAAAAATGTTGGCCCCGGGATACCCAAGAATTCTCTCAAAAATGTCGGGCCGTTTGGCCCATGTATAGCTTACATATATACAAACTTTAAAACATATTATAAACTGGCTAAATGGTTTGGTGTTGCCTGTGAAATAACAAAAAATTATGATTTTGAAAATAAAAATTGATTTGTATCCAAAATTCGATTTTTGAAAAAATATGAGATCATAACTTTTGTATTCTAGATGAGAAGTTAGGATTTAAATCATGTGAAAGGAATTGAGTTTTTGCCACAAACTCTGGTTTTCTAATCCCAATATCTTTGGAACCCAATGTCGTAGACCTTTGATATTTCAAACTATAAATTTTGTTAGATAAAAAAATCTAAGTTTAAAATATATAAGGTTAACATCATCGTCTTGCAAAGATGTAGGCATTAGAAAATTAGAGTTTGTGGCTAAAACTCAATTCCTTCGGATCTAACGTGAACTCGTTTTATTTTCATTAAATGGATTTTCTCTGAATCCTGGTGGATTCATGTTAACATGTTTTATTAAATAAAGAGAATTCAATGCAGGAAGAAAAAGGAAAAACAGAAGGAAACCCTTAAACAACGGAAAAAGAGAAATTGTAGGCACAGGGAAGAGATAAAGGAAAAGGAAGGAAAGAGAAAGAGATGAGAACTATAGAAAGAAGGAAATGAGTTAAGGGGGGAAAGGAAAAGGAGAAAAAAGAGGCAAGGAAAAGAGGGTACAAAAAGAAAAAAGGAGAAAAAAAGAAAGGAAAAGGGGGTACAAAAAGGAAAATAAGAACAAAGAGGCAAGGAAAAGGGGGTACAAAAATAAAAAGGAGAAAAAAAGGAGGTAAGGAAAAGGGGGTACTAAAAGAAAGGAGAAAAATGAGGCAAGGAAAAGGGTGTACGAAAAGGAAAGGAGAAAAAAGAGGCAAGGAAAAGGGGGTACAAAAAGGAAAGGAGAAAAAAGGGGCAAGGAAAAGGGGTACAAAAAGGAAAGGAGAAAAAAGGGGGTAACAAAAAGGAAATGAGAAAAAAGGGGGTTACTAGAAGGAAAGGAGAAAAATGGGGGTAAAAAGGAAAGGAGAAAAAAGGGGGTACAAAAAGGAAAGGAGAAAAAAGAGGCAAGGAAAAGGGGGTACAAAAAGGAAAGGAGAAAAAAGGGGGTACAAAAAGGAAAGGAGAAAAATTGATTATGTAAATTATAAAAGAGATTATAACTTAAAAGTTTCATTTACAATTTACATTTTAAAATCGTTTCAAAGGCTAATTGCGATAAGTTTAACAATCATAAACTGTAATAGTTTAACGCGATTTGAAGAAAAAGTAGTTTAATCCTTTTCAACCTCAGCAAAATTTTGGAGAACATTTTTTATTTTTTTCATTTAATTCTGTTATCAATGATGATGTTTTATAAAACTTCTTTTGTATGCTTTTTTAAAGAAGCAATACGAAATTACGAATCTTTTTATGCAAATTGTAAATCTGAAATTTGTTTACCTTCTTTTTCTTATTCGAAGGCCCCCTTCAGAACAACAAGAAAATTTGTTCGTTTCTCTAAAAACATGATAAATCAACTAATATGTTAAAGGGATTGTATGCGTAGTTTCAAGTGACCCTTATATACAGTAGTGCCCCTAGCTTTGTCTGATTAAGTTTAAATTAGATTTGTTTTCAATTGTGGTTTCTCTACAAAGGTCCTTTTTAACTATCAGAATTTAACACTTAAATCTTAGAAAACGACGTTATCTTCCACATCATTGATCAGATAAAGGTTTCAAGAGATTTTGTCTGTATGTATAGTGTACAGTGTACAGTGTACAGTGTACAGTGTACAGTGTACAGTGTACAGTGTATAAAGCTTGCTTTAGCAGGTTCAAATTAGACCCGGTATATTTGAAATAAACCGGAGTGTGGGAGGATCACTTAAAATTACATTAACAGTCCCTTTAAGTTTCATACCTTTGTGTACAATAATCACCAAATTTCAGTTCAATCCAATGTTTTTAAACTTGCACTGTTAGAAACCCCAACATGTTGTTCATAATATAGAATATTTAACGAAGGCAATTCTTAATTACGAACATTTTGATCGAAACTATTAACAGAATGTTAGTGACATCTCTTTTATTTTCACTGTTACAAAAAAAAACTACATTTCTTTTATGATAAAGAATTTTCCGAACGCATCATTAAATTTCAAAATTTTATGTTGTTTATGTTTGTGGACAGATAGTTATGGCGTAAATAAGTTTTAAATTAATTTTTAACAAATAGAGGTTAATCACGAAATCATAATTCTAAAAGGATATTTCTTACTCTCCACTTGTAGATGAAGATCTAAATTAAATATATTTTGTCTGTAAGTCAGAGGAAAAAATCTTGCATTTAAAAATAGGGAACAGAATAAAATAGATATAAAAATGTGTGAGAAATCGATAACATTCTGTTCATAATGAACAACCTGTTTTTTATAATACTTTACAATGTATCACAGTGATTTAAAGGTCTCACCCTCGCAAGCCAAAATATTTGAGAATTTTCCCAATTACTTCTTAAACCAAAGCTAACCACAAGTAGCGCTAAAATGTACAAATAAATGGCTAGATTAAAGCATAAGTGAGTAATTTAGCGGTAAAATCTAAACCCAAAGCGCTGNTGTACATACAGCTCACTAATTATGAAACTATGTGGTATATTGTACATACAGCTCACTAATTATGAAACTATGTGGTATATTGTACATACAGCTCACTAATTATGAAACTATGTGGTATATTGTACATACAGCTCACTAATTATGAAACTATGTGGTATATTGTACATACAGCTCACTAATTATGAAACTAATGTAAGAAAGTGCGTAACCGGAAATAAGCGTAAAATTAAGATCGAACGCAAAGTACCAATTGTTCCGCGCGTGGGAAGTATGGACTACTGGTATAAAGTGTGACATTGATCTAGTCCTGTGTACGCGGATAGCGTAAATTGACCCAAAGTAAGCAAATTCAGGGGTACACTTTCATTATTTATTTTATTCAACCCTTTTTTTCAAGTTCAAATTTTTTTGATTTAAACTTCTAAATTATTATTTGGTGAAGTATATATGGTTTAATGTCGTTCATATACTTCTATTGTTTAGATTTAAATCAGAAAATTTCCCAGGCTGTAACATGTGTTTCAACCCGGGCTATATACTTACCCTTTTTTAGAACGTTTTTATTCCATCTGCTTAAATAGTATTCTTTATTTTGTGTAATTGGCTTTTAAAAATATGAAACGGACCCTGACAATAAAACCCTTTATCCTTGAAGGATATTCAAGGCACCGTTTTCAACGTATATCTTAAAATAATATAATACATTTATATGTCTTCTTTGTTTTCTTGTATAAAAATATATTGAATCCGTGTATTGGTCTACATATGTACATTTTACGTCTTATATACTTAGTTTTTATGTCTGTCTGTTTGTTTGTATTTAATAAACGTCAAAACTGCTGAATCGATCGGGTGCAAATTTTGTGACCCCACGGAAGATTAAGGATACTCAGAATTACATGAAGTTGCATCCAAAAGCTTTTGATTTTTGTGAAACTTTAAAATGCGGGAAAAAATATTCGAAAAATCCTTTTCTTATATATTGTACAAAGAGAAAATGCTCACAGAAAGAGCAACAATTAAAAAACAAAAATATTATGGGCGCGAAGCGCCCTAAAAGCCTTCAGTATCATAATAAACATCCATTTCAAATGTTTAAGTTTCAAAGGGACTGTCACACTAGAATCTCCCTGAAAGGGGCTGATTTATTTGGTGTACCGTCCCGTTTAGGCCTAATAGAGTCTGTATGTGTACTGTATATAAAGTGTGTAATGTACAGAGCCCAAAACCAAATTTGAAACCCGAGTTTAGCGAATGGGGTTAGGCAGTTTTGTCGATATCAATATTTTTGTTATGAAATATTATTTAATTTTAGTTTCTTCATATTTTTCATTTTTTTTAAATCTCTTAAAACAAAATCTACAAAATGTTAAGACCCCAAAAAGGAAACTCGGGAGTTTCGTTAAACGATACTCTTTTAGATTTCGGGCTCTGCATGATTCTACTTGAAATAAACAGGAGTTTACGGTGCACTATAGTCAACTAATTTTCAAGTGACCGTAATCATTTTTTTTCTACAG